TGAATAGGATCGCAACCATTAAAAAGGGAAAAAATTTTTTAATCGGATAGTGTCTACAGCGTTTGTCTACCTTCATTCTAAGTGGTTTGAGCATGGTTCTGAAAAACAGCGCGAGCTTTCGGACCGACCCAATACATCCGCGGTCTGCAAAAAGTAGATTTACGGACCCAATTTTGCGGGCCAGAAGCCAAGTGGACGACGAGCAGCTTTCAAAATTTCACTTATCGTATCGGTTTGGGCTTTTGCACAGTTTGTTTACTTGCTGATAGGGTGCTGTGACCAAAATTCTAGATCAAGGCCTTTGCTGGAACTCGCTTTACAAATTTCGTGACAGAAAGACGTACACACAGACACACAGACACACAGACAAACAGGCGTAAACAACCCTTAGCTCGTTATTATTGAGTCATAGAGTTTTGACATGGCAGAATCACACTTTAGGAAAGAGTCAAAGAGTTCAAGGCTGGCTTCTATAATCCTCCATCACCATTCCTTCTACATGTAAACTACTAAAGGCAAAATCGGATAAGAGGAAGGAAGGAGATATGTAAAAATGGCGATGTTGATGTGTATATTTAAAACACGTGCAAATATTAGGTCGTTCCGAATGAATGTCGCCTTTTTCAAACGTACGCCACATCTCGAAGAACAAAGATGTGTAGAATTCTGGCAGAATTTGATGCAACATTTCGTTCTCTTTCCAACGGTCATATGAACGCTGCACAAAGTTCAATAACCTCTCGAAAAATTATCAAAATCTGCGACCCATACTTTTTGAGAAGGCAGAAGGCCAACTTTCACAATTTTTCTGAATTTTTACAACATTTTTCGGAAGGAGTCCAAGTAATGGATGGATAGAGCAAAGCCTACAAGAAACTGCACAACTTTTTTCTACTTTCCAGAGCTTGTCATAATTTTTGTATAGGTTTTTTGATGGAACCACCGAATTTTAGCAAGCTGGTCTCAGACACAAATGCACCAAACACCAATAAATCTTAGGATTTTGAAACATACAAAGATGGATTATGCTTTGACACTAATTTTACAAACCAATTGAGCATTCACCGCTTCAGATTAGCAACTTTCGAAAATTCCGGGTACAGCCTGGGGCGCCCTGGACAACCTAATTATGATGATTTTATCCCGGCAAACTTGATAAATCAGAAACAAAAAACAAGTGATAGAAAGAGGAGAAAAAGCTGCTTCGAGTGACACCCGAGTTCTTGCCGGTTGTTGTTCTGTGAGGTTTGAGTTGCCCAAATATGGAATTTGATAGCAATGAAAAATTGATTTCAGAAACTCCAAGAAGCAAGCTAAGCAAAAGAAAAAAATGCTTTGTGTCCTATACGGTTTGCTCCATCTACCAGTCACTTGTATTTCTTTGGAGGAAAGGTAAAAAAATTTAGAAAAATAACTGAACTCGACCATGAGAAAAAGCAAAACTCGCAGATTTTGGTAATTTTTCGAGAGCTCATTTTATTAGGTTGTCCGGAAAATAATGTCGCTTTTTATTCTAACATGCAAAATCGTGGCAGGGTGAGCACGAAAGTAAGTAAATGGAGTACCAACCGATAGATCAAAACAAGCTCTACAAAATAAAGCTCGAGCCTTTGCGCTAGGTTTGATTTGCGTGAAGTTTGGAGCCAAACTTCACAAGGCACTAAAAATCTAGAAAACGAAAAAAATCGTATCTCCGTTCCGTTCAGAAAAGTCCTGGGAACCCCTAACTTGCTCAAGCGTGGACTCACTATACGAGACACTCGTATGCACACTTTCGCGGGTTATCCATGGCTGGAAGTTGAGAATTCGAGATTCGGCACATTTTTGCCAAAACAATCCTGAGCTTCTCTCACATGGGTGATTCTGTAGCATGAACCTTTAGAAGTATAACCATGAATTTTCAGCTTCAGACAAGCGCTAGTTTTCGAGAAAAATCAAATTGTTTGCAAAAAACCCGAAAAACGCGACATATTCGCACTTTTGACCTATTTTTTCTTGTATTGTAGCCAAGGAAAAATACCACAAACTATACAGGTGAATGTCTGGTGTGGAGAGTACATGCCTGTGCAAATTGGAGATCCATAAGACGTCTATGAACAGAGATACGATTTTTCGGATATCTGAAATTTTTTACATTTTGGACTCGAACTTCAGGTGGAGCACGATTTCCGCGTAGATTTGCGAACTACCTTGTAGAGCTTGCTTTGCTCTATTAAATGATACCCCACTCGCTATTTTTTATGGTCATTCTGTCGCGGTAGGATGCCATGCGACATTATTTTCCGGCCAACCTAATATATTGTGCAATAAAATCACAACCATTAGAAAGAGGATGAAATGCTGCATCGAATGCTTTTAAGCTCTCTTTAAAATCTTGATTTCATAAAATGTGGCGTTCATCTGAAAAAAGCGACATTACCTTCGGAACGACCTAATATATTAGGTCGTAAGTTTGTAGAGTTTCTTAAATCAATAAAACGACAAAATATTAGCAAAATTCATCCAATAGTGCATGTTCCGTTGTTGCGCACAACCATCTGACACCATGCAGTCAGATTTTCAGTTTTTCTAGAACTCAGCGGGTCTGGTCTTAAAAAGTCGTCTAACCAGCGCCTGAGATCGTCTTCAAAATCAAAAGAGATGCCGTTCTTATGATTTGTAATAGACTGGAACACATGATAATATGCTAAAGCGAGATTTCAGGAGTACATTGGATACTAATGTACCTCCCAGCCAAGTCTTTCAGGAAAGCTGTGACGAGGGCTGCCGTAGGAGGCTAAGTTTTGTCGCGCAGAAAGCTCACTGGACCTGTTTATTAGGCCTACTCTGCCGTATTAATTCGTTTAGGTAATGCAGTCAGGTTGCGTACGGCATGGGCGACCGTCTCGTTATTGTCTAGCAAATTCTAGTGCAGAACCTCCTGTTTTTCTTGCAGAAAATCTTGTTCAGGAGTCACCTTGTAAACTTTTGGTTTTTTGGGGCACCACTCCTTTTGTCTCATATTGACGAAAAGACTCCATTTTTCAATGATCGGCAAAAAAGCGCAAAATGCTCTTTTCATGAGAAAAAAAATGAACAAGTGCCAGAAATGCTTGTTTTTGCCTTTTAAAAATCTTGGAAGCTAAAGAATCGGAGCAAATCAGCTTTCCATCAAAAATAATTATTTTGATTCAAAGGGTATGATCAGCTCTTCTCAATAATATACGCATCTTGCCGCAACCTAACCGCTCCTCCAAGAGATGAAAACGAGACTGAAAACTGTACAGAATCATGAAACAACTTATACATATACAAATACAATATAATACATATAAAATAAATGAGATGTGATATGAACCACGAAAAAACCTGCCGCATGTGATGCAGTTGAACAAGGAGCAGATGCTACGGAAGTTAAACGTTCCCTTAAAGACTGCTTTGCTCTCAGTGGTGTTCTACTGTTATGATGCGCCAGTGTTTCACCTCAGTTTTGTAAGGTTTCTTACGGTTTCTTATGATTTTGTATGCTCGCTCGCTACTACAATTTACGCATGTCTTTTGACTCCATTCACCATCAAAAATTAACAAGGAGTGCCAAATAGCTCACTCAGGTAAGTTTAGTCGTTTTAGTTTGTCACCGTCGTCGTTTCATATTCGCCGCTGTCCGCTCGTTTTGGGAAAACCCTCCTCTTTTTGGGGCGTATGCAGATCAAGAACTGTTGCATCATGAACGAGAAACCAAATCAACATTATCATGTCTCAGGACTAGCATTTAAATTCCCTGATAAGAAATTCGGGTTGCAACAGCGGGAGTACAAAGAGGCGTTCGCGATGCTAATGCAAGGGTTTTAATATTAGCGTCGCAAAAAAGCAGCACAAACGACATACTCAAGTAGGTTTCTTTGGCGATGTGTGAAACTGCATATTTTTCAGGATGAAATTGGCCATTAAGCCCAGAAACGACCCATTTTTTCTTGATGTTTTGAGTTGGGATCTAGTCGTGTTTGTAGCGCAAACAATCACAGTTGATGTATCCCGCTCGAAAGTAGGCTTTTCATAGTTAACATTCCGGAGATGATGAAGCTGCATACATTAGCAAAGAAACCAACTCGATTGTAGTTGTGCATGAAGCTATTCAGCTCTTAAAGGCAACGACTTGGCAGAATGACAACTTCGGGAAATTCATCGTTCTCGGTTGCCCTGGATGAGTCCAAGACTGTGCTCTGCATCTTTGAAAGATATCAATAACTCGCTTTTCCAAACGTGATAAGTGCTATTTGGGCGGACGGCGTATGCCTACGCTCTAGAATGGATTTCGTGATTTTGTGCTCACCCGGACCTATTTGTTATGCTGAATCCGAAAATCCACATTGGATAGCGCGAAAACGGCTAAAAAGGGTTCTAACGCAGGAGGGGAATCAGCAGTGGGGAAGGGTCTTCCTACTGTAAATTCACGCTCCCAGTTTTCAGAGCTACCTTCTCGATTCCGCTAGCCGCCTAACATCTCCACCGGCCAAGTGCAAACGCGTGACTTGAAATTTGAAATCGCGAAGATCGCTTCGAAAGCTGGGAGCGTAAATTCATAGTGGGGAAGACCCGCCCACCTCCTAAATTCCTTCCTGCGTTAGAACTCTTTCGCCATTTTCGAGTTCTCCAATATGGATTTCCGGATTCAGCATAGCGAAAAGGTGGAAGAGTAACCTTGGAATCGACATTTTTACCCGGACACTGTCTTCAAGTGGAGATTGACATTTTAATTTAATTCAGATCTTTTGATTGCAAGCTATCCAACTGCATATCTCATTCGTATTTTGCCCAAGATTTCACAAACAGTTTTCAATGTTTTCTGCAAATTTTCCAAATCAAGTTCTATTACTATGCTCATGACCACCAAGCGCAAGTAGTTTTAGTTATTGTGAGACTATTATGCTCTTCGAAACCAATACCCCTACATATCTTTTCCTCTAGCTTTATCAACAGAAGCAAATAATCAACACAGATATTTATTCAATATCTGAAAATCACAGCAAAATAGCTGCGTACATTGCTAGGTCCAGTTTGAACCAATTGCATAACAACTTATGGATGTTTCTAATGTAAGAAGCCAAAACTGCAGTAAGTTTGATTCTCTTCTGAGATGGCATTTTGACAGGGCCTTCAGCATCTAGAAGGACGGCAAATCTGATGGCACACTGGGTGATTAATAAATGTACAGTGCTGATGAGGACGATGACCGTGGCATTTCTGAATAGTTACGTGTGTAAAAAAGCGCCACAAGAACACACACTCTGAATCTGTTATTATTGCATTACTGATTGATGAAGATGAAACTTGCTTAGGAAATTTACTCAAAAATCTAGAAGTTTCTTATTTAAGCTGCATATAAAGATGCGACACTTACCTTGATACGCTGATTTTTGCAGACTTTTCTACAATGTGAATGACCGCCACAATGTTTTCCTATCTTGCTCACGCTTACTCCAAAAATAGAAAAGAGGAGAAAACTGATTAGCAGAAAGTTCATTTTGTTCAAATTGGTCACTAGCTTGGACCGTTGGATGATGAAGTGATCGCACTGACATGCACAGCTTTCTCTTATATACTGTACATTTTGTGCCCAGACAACAACATATTCTGCTATTTCCCGTATTGTCTTACTCATGAGGTCTTTGGTGCCTAATACGTATACAACAGTTTTTATCACGAATAAAGAAAAAGACTTCAAAAGACTTGCTGTAAAGAAGAAAAAAAATCTCCGTTACAGCAACAATGCGGCTTTTGCACTACATTCAACAACGCCCAAAAGTAGAATGATTTGGATTTGGTTGTACTCTAGCACAGAATGCACATCTTGAACGTTGTTTCTTGATTAAATTCGATCATCATCTTGCCACAAAAAATGTAATTTATGTAGCAAGCTTGAGAGGAATTTCTCATACCAATTTATTAAACAACTATTTGTTGTGAAAGTTGCCTTTATAGACGGACGAAGGAAAATAAGTAGCCCTTTATTGGCATTTTGAGTATTGTATTATTAATGTCATCGGTAATCGTTACTTTCTCAGCTTCATACACAAGAATGACCGGTGGACCTAACATCTACAGGGTGTCCCAAAAGTATGTGCGCTGTTTAATCGTTGATATCTTTTCTACTAAGAACCTTTAGCTTATCTTTAAGTACCATTACATAGAGCTGGCTTCAACTCAGATTTACAGTATGGGGCGAATCATCGGTCGCTCGTCATTACTTTAGGATTACGGTAGAAATTTCAAGAAAGGTTGTGAGCCATCAAGGACCCTATTTCGCCTCAAGAAGCAAGCCGAACAAAATGAAAACTTCTTTTATGCTATGCGATTGAAGCTGCTGAAACCATAAATGATGTTTTCACTCTATCGCAATGCTTCCTTCATTAGTTATGCCAGGTAGACCGCAATAGCTGTTTTTAAGAAACTCCATAAAATCGTGTTACACCATTTCAAAAGCTTTGCAAACTCGTAAAAAGTTAAATATAAAATCGGCCAACTTGAAAACCCTATAACACCATTTTTCAGATTTTTGGAAACATTTTTTGAAACACGGTAAATCCGTAATGACGCTATAAACTGAAAATTCCTACCGTAATCCTACAGCAATGACGAGCGACCGATGATTCGCTCCATACTGTAAATCTGAGTTGAAGCCAGCTCTACCAAATGGTGCTTAGAGTTAGGCAAAAGACTTCTTGGGAAAAGAGATATCAACGATCAAACAGTGTAAACTAGATTAAACTATAAGTCCTTTTTTCTTGTAACCTGGGCATTTAGTTTATAACTTGGACAATTCTTCTATGCCGTACAGGTTTTTATTGGTGATACACTTTATTGCTGCCTTACGTTTCTTTTAAACACCGTCTTCAGAGGCCTGGAAAGGAGTCAGTCACTCTGATATTACTTTCCTGCCGCCAAAACCTCTTCACACCCGCGTATTCGATTCGTCTCGTTTGGAGATTGAGAGACTGGGCGTGAAAGTCTACCCACCGAGTGTATCACCGTGGCAACAGCGTATGCTGCTTCAGGACGTGCTCGAGTAACTTGTCGAATGAGCAGTTGGATCACTATGAGATGGATTAAGTAAGGGTGACAATCTCATAGTTCGCATAGCGCAAGATATGGCAATAGATCACTTGTGATAGAAAGCTTTTCATTCTTGCCGTTCACTTTTGGGTCACGGGCAAGTATGTAAGATGCTTCTAGAGCCTTTCGGGCAGCGATTTGATCTTCGAAAGCCAGAATCTTGCATTTAATGTTGTAATTGTCACCGTTGTGTTCTATATTGTGTCTGCCTAAAGGGGACACTATACTCTGTCGTTTTTTGCTGGCTAAATGCTCGCTTATCCTTACGCTTAGCGGCCGACCTGTTTCTCCAATATAAATGGCAGAGCAGCTCATACATTCAATTTGGTAGACAACGCCACATTTTGCGCAGTCTCCTGCTCTTCCGTAGGGGCAGGAGATGGCGCGAAATGTGGCGTTGTCTACCAAATTGAATGTATGAGCTGCTCTGCCATTTATATTGAAGAAACAGGTCGGCCGCTAAGCGTAAGGATAAGCGAGCATTTAGCCAGCAAAAAACGACAGAGTATAGTGTCCCCTTTAGGCAGACACAGAAATATAGAACACAACGGTGACGATTACAACATTAAATGCAAGATTCTAGCCTTCGAAGATCAAATCGCTGCCCGAAAGGCTCTAGAAGCATCTTACATACTTGCCCGTGACCCAAAAATGAACGGCAAGAATGGAAAGCTTTCTATCACAAGTGATCTATTGCCATATCTTGCGCTATGCGAACTATGAGATTGTCACTTTTACTTAAGCCATCTCATAGTGATCCAACTGCTCATTCGAGAAGTTACTCGAGCACGTCCTGAAGCAGCATACGCTGCTGCCACGGTGATACACTCGGTGGGTAGACTTTCACGCCCAGTCTCTCAATCTCCACCCGAGACGAATCGAATACGCGGGTGTGAAGAGGTTTTGGCGGCAGGAAAGTAATATCAGAGTGACTGACTCCTTTCCAGGCCTCTGAAGACGGTGTTTAACCGAAACGTAAGGCAGTAATAAAGTGTATCACCAATAAAAACCTGTACGGCATAGAAGAATTGTCCAAGTGTAAACATACTTTTGAGACACCCTGCATATCAAAAGCTTTCTCAATGTTTGCTTCTATAAGCTTTTATAACGATGTGTGCTTTTTACTTCTGCTTTTGAATCGTTTTCAAGCTCCTCGTGCGTAAAGTTAAAGATATCATGTTCTCATTCCATTGCGCAGTCATCAGGCCATATTTTCAGCATTTCTGATGCTTTCTCTTTTTTTGAGATGACGTTAGCAAACGAGGGCAATCAAGGTTTTTTTGATTTGTGACACAAAAGGCTGGTTCAAGCCATACGATTTGTAAAATGAGAAGAAAGTATAATGTTGCAGCACTTCCGCATGACATGTGTTAGTAAATCCTTGCAAAAAGTTGGAATGTTGTATAAGAGCTTCTCAAATTGGTATGATCGCTCCGTACTAACAGTTATTCTTCATATTACATTACTTGTATGTGCACAAGATGAATGAAAGTTTCGCAAATATCACGAGAATTTACATTTAGACAAAACAACTTTTGGCTAGAGTTTGCAATGATTTGACAAAAAAAAGTAATCGTGAAATTCGATAAAGCAGTTTGAAGTTTCCAAGTTTTTGATGGGGCTAACCTAAGCGACCGTTTTCGGTTTGACCGGATCTTTTTAGGATAACAGTACACATTTCGACAGTTTTTTCCGTCAAGCTTTTACTGGCAAGTTACTATTAAGGGTGACGTCGGTTGTTGCTTTATTATTACATATGACACCTTGATTGCTTTATCAAGCAGTCAAGGTGTCATACGATGTAGCTCTTTCTCCTCTTTCTGACAGACTTCTTTTCTTCCTGATTTTTAGAATATCTAGATAAAATCATAATTATTGTTTCCAGACTCGTCCCAGGTTGTAACCAGAAATTTGAAATCTAAAATTTCGAACCGCCAAACGCTCAGTTGCCCGCTAAAGTCAGCGTTGAATGATAAGCTGTTTATGAAGCCTCAAACTCCGAAGATTCGTCAGTGTTTGAAGCGATAATGTATTTCGCGACTTCGCAAAAGTCAGGGCTTTTGGAAAATTTATTTATACCGAAAAGTCAGATGATGAAGCCAATGTAGCTCATTGTATAGCATTTTTTAGTCTATTCAACAGTTTCTAAAGCTAATCTAAAAGTCAAAAATGAAACTTTCAAAAATAGCTTGGGAAATAGCTTTTTACTAGCCTTTTATTAACCCAGCGACGTTATATGGCAGGAGTGCTGACCATGTACGCGCAAAGAGGGGTGCTAGTTCACTCTTGAAAAGATGGATGCGAGGACCTTAGTATCACTTTGAAGCACTTCTGTAAATGACCTCATACAGAATAAGTTCTGTGAAGAAAAGGAGCGTCATGATTGTAACGATTTTTGATTCCCATGCGATATGTTATCTGGTCCTATGCTTCGTTCTCACACATCTCACTGTCGCTATATCTTCTTACCGGTGCATCATCTCTTCGCAGAGGATCGCACTGATTCTACTATCTGAATGCCCTACTCATTCTCGCATAATGATGGCATTGAAACTCACCGCGCAATGCCGACTATCACGAATGAAATGTAAACAACTACTCATTCAAAAGCTTTTTCATGTGAAATCGGTGATTTTGCCTGTATGAAACTTTTTGCGAGAGAACAAATGCATAATTGAATGGGTTTTTGAATTTTTCATTATTTTGGTAATCGCATTAAGAAAAATAACCACCTTGAGTCAATCTCTGTGCAAAAATCTTGTCAAATGCTAAGGTGACACCTGGCGAATTGACCACTTAAGCAATCCAATCTTTCTGGCACCGTTTTCGTAAAGTAGTAGACTTTTGATCACTTTTTGGGCCTCAGTCCATGGCTTGCACATTTACTTGTCAAATATTAGGTCGGTCGAAAGTTCGCGCTGTTTTTCAGTTAAGATTTAAGATTTAAGTAGTGGCATTAATCACCATATTGCTAAGTGACGACGACAGCTTCTTCTGAGTAAAAGTCTCAACGAGAATTTTACAGATTGCGCAGATTCATGTGAGTCTAAAATGGAAAAATTGGGGAACCCTAAAAAACAATAAAAATTTGTCACCCTCCTAGCGCACAATGTGCAAGGCCTTAGCCTTTCTTTTATCCATATTTCCGCTGCGATAATTCGGGCTGAAATTTTTGACTATCACTTCTGATTTTGGACCCCAGTAGTATTTAGAGTGTAATAATTAATTTTCGACGGTCTGGAAAATACTGCTTCAAATCACGGACTAGCTATGAATTGAATGTTAGCAGTTGGCATTAGCAATTTGCTTTCATGTCTAAAACTGAAAATCCCGTGCTTAGCCGAATGCCTTTGATACTGTCAGTATATCGATGACTGTTAATTGTGATTACAGTTCGAAATGGATGAATGCTACAAAGTCCTCATCCGAGTGCATCAAAGTCACGTGCAGAACTCACGAGGAGGACGAC